AATGTAAACTAGTACAACCACTCTGGAAAAAAATTTGGAGGCTACTTAAAAAGCTAAACATTGATCTACCATTTGATCCAGCAATACCACTCTTGGGGATATACCCAAAAGACTGTGACACAGGTTACTCCAGAGGCACCTGCACACCCATGTTTATTGCGGCACTATTCACAAATAGCCAAGTTATGGAAACAGCCAAGATGCCCCACTACTGACGAATGGATTAAGAAAATGTGGTATCTATACACAATGGAATTTTATGCAGCCATGAAGAAGAATGAAATGTTATCATTCGCTGGTAAATGGATGGAATTGGAGAACATCATTCTGAGTGAGGTTAACCTGGCCCAAAAGACCAAAACTCGTATGTTCTCCCTCATATGCGGACATTAGATCAAGGGCAAACACAAGAAGGGGACTGGACTTTGATCACATGATAAATCGAGAGCACACAAGGGAGGTATGAAGATAGGTAAGACACCCAAAAAACTAGATAGCATTTGTTGCCCTCAACACAGAGAAACTAAAGCAGATACTTTAAAGCAACGGAGGCCAATAGGAGAAGGGGACCAGGAACTAGAGAAAAGGTTAGATCAAAAAGAATTAACCTAGAAGGTAACACACATGCATGGGAAATCAATGCGAGTCAACTCCCTGTATAGCTATCCTTATCTCAACTGGCAAAAACACTTGTTCCTTACTATTATTGCTTATACTCTCTCTTCAAAATTAGAGATAAGGGCAAAATAGTTTCTGCCGGGTATGGAGGGGGTTGGGGAGAGAGGGAGGAGGCGGTGTGGGTGGTAAGGAAGGGGGTGGGTGGAGCGGGAAAAATGACCCAAGCATTGTATGCAAATATGAATAACAAAAAAATAAAAATTTAAAAAAGAAAAAAAAGAAAGAAAAGCACTCTACCATTGAGCTACAATTAGCACCGTAGCACATATGAAGTCCTGGGTTAAATTCCCAGAACTGTAAACAACAGCAACAAAAAGAAACAATAAAAAACCAACCTCCACAAGGCTGATTATCTCCCCATGCCTTCCCTGTCCCCTCCACCCCTCTTCGCCATACTAGTCAGTAGCAGAGCATCAACCATTACCATTCTCCCAGTCCCCCAGCCTTATGAGCCTTTTGAGGTCATCTTTGTACATTATCCTTTTTTTTAACCTGTCAGCAAGTCCTATCCTTTTTTACAACCTCTCTTGTCCTAAACCTAATGTTCCTTCTAATTTTCCTAAAACAATACTTCAGCTACCACATCACTTCCTACCTTCAAAATTGTCCTGATTTTGACTGCATCAAATCTAAGCACTAATGCACTAGATTCTGAGGTCCTCTTTTCCCCCACCTAACAGATCCTTGCTTCTCATAAAATCGTAACACTCTCTACCCCAAGCAAGGCAATCTCTAATGAGTCCCTGCAAAGTATGCATTAATTTCTGTGCCTTTACTACCATTTATCCCTAAAACACTCTTTTTTTCTTTTCCTTTTTTGGCGATACTGTGGTTTGAACTCAGGGCCTCACAATTGCTAGGCAGGTGCTCTACCACTTAAGACATTCCACCAGCCTTTTTGTGTTGCATATTTTCAAGATAGGGTCTCTCGAACTATTTGCATGGGCTGGCTTTGAACCACAATCCTCCTGGATCTCTGCCTCCCAAGTACCTTGGATTACAGGAGTGAGCCATGGTGCCCAACTAAACCACTCTTTCTATCCATCCAAATCCCTCCATTACTTCAAGGTCCAACTTAAGCATCAAATTTTCTATGAAGCCTTATACATGTCAGCCTATATGCTTATTCTCTGTCTTGATATTTCTACTACATATATACCAACATCATATAACTTAGTACTTATCTTCCTATAATTGTTTTTGGCAAACAAACTAGTTCATACACATTTCTGTATTTGCTAATGGCCTACGCAACAGTAGAAAGGAAATGGGTTTCAAATAAACAAAGGTTTAGAGATTAAAGGAAATGCTGATATAGGATGAGGAAGAATGAAATCCAAGTGTAGCATTTTTTTTTTGCTCCTTCTTTTGAATTCTTTTGGCATGTCTTAGGTACTGAGATATTACTACATCTTACTCTGATTAAGTTTCCCAAACACAAAATATTGCAACTGCTATTGGAGGTCAGGAGTCTTATCTCCTTTACCCTACTTGACATTCAAAAATAAATAAACAAATTAGCATACAGGCTTCTAGGCAAACCTTTATCAATGTTTTAAAATATATGGCTGAACTCACAGGAGGCCAATTATCTCTGTATGTACCACACTGCTTCTCTGTCTAAATCTATATTTTACCTCTGATCAGTCTTGATTGCTTCACCCTAGTTCTGTACCCTAGACCTGAAGAATTCTTGCTCTAGAATCTAAACAACTAAGGCCTGATGGAGTGGCTCAAGTGGTAAGAGCAGCTGCCTAGAATCTAAACAACTATTTGAGTACAATTCCTCAAAGGAGTACAGTCCTATATCCATAATGATCATTACAGTCCCTACCGGTCTATACTCTGTTATCACAAAAAGAAAAAACAACATGATAACAGGAGACTGGTAGTGTCAATGAGTTGGACCCTCTGTAGGAGATGTGTGAATATGAGATTAATATGTACAAAACCAAGAGACAGAATACCTTGTATTTAAATCCTGGGCCTGCCACTTGTGGATATTTAACTACAGGACAATTATATAATTTCTCCCACCCTCTGTTAATTGTTATAAAATTCATAAGATTATGCTGGGCGCAGATGGCTCATGCCTGTAATGTGGCTACTTAGGAGGCAGAGATCAGGAGGGTTGAGGTTCAAAGCCAACTCAGACAAATAGTTCATGAGACCCTATCTTGAAAAAAAACTCATCACACACAAAAAAAAAAAAAAAAGGCTGGTGGAGTGGCTCAAAGTGTAAGCCCTGAGTTCAAGCCCCAGTACTCAAAAGAAAGACAAAAAAAAGATTATAAAGATTATATGCCAATATACTTAAGGCACATAGCATAATGCTTAGAACAGACAAGTGTTCAATGAATGTTTCCTGTAATTATTTTTAAAGTTGAAGTGAGAAGTCTAAAAAGATAGCACCAAGTTATTTCATCCTTTGATTTCTTTCTTTCTTTCTTTCTTTTTTTTTTTTTTTGGTGGTACTGAGGTTTGAACTCAGGGCTTCACACTTGCTAGGCAAGTGCTCCATGGTTTGAGCCATACCTCCAGCCTTTGATTTTCTATAACCAGAATGCCCAAGAAATAAGAACGTGTATTCATGAGGCCATGAGTCATAGCTTCAATCCCCATTTGTGGGCATGTTGCTGCCTACTTCATAGCCACCAACTAGTTGTTTCAGTTCTGCATTCTGCATCTAGGCTCCTTTCTAGGGCCACCTACCAGAAAAAAGATGGCCAGCACTTATAGTGTGTGAATCCCAGACTCTAGCTATTAATTATCCCACTTTAAGAATATGGAAATTAGAGCCAGGCACCTATAATTCTAGCTTCTCAGGCAGCAGAGCTCAAGATCGTGGTTCAAAGTAAGCCCTGGGCAAACAGTTCACCAGACCTAATCAGAGCAAAATGGACTGGAGGTGTGTCACAAATGAAAACATGAAGCCCTGAGTTCAAATCCTAGTCCCACTACAGAGAGAGGAGGAGAGGATAAAGGAAAGAATAATCTAAGAGGGTAGGAGAGTAGAGAAATATAGAATAATTGATATAAAGTGAAATTATTGGGATAGGTGTGGCTCAAGTGGTAGAGCACTTGCCTAGCAAGTGTGAGGCCCTGAATTCAAACCCCAGTAGAACCAATAAATAAATTATTTGACAGATTTTTCTCTATTTGGCCCCATGTGTACAGGTCAAATACAGAGCAGGTAGAGATTTAGGGTAGTCAAACAGGTATAATTAAGGAAGATACCAGCAGAGGAACTGAGAGTGTATGCCAGGAAGTGACAATAACTGACCATAGAAAAGTAGAGTAGGGAGGGAAGTGAGTACAGAAGGGTATGAGGCAGAATGGAAAAGGCAATAGGATCAATAGATCCTAGTTGATCCTGGTAGAGTCTATATAGTAAAGGGAATGAGCTGGAGGGAGAGAGACAGAGAAAGAGAGGAGGGAGGCAGGGAGGGAGGACTACAAGGCATAGAACCAGATCTTTGTGATTCCTACATTTAGGCAGAAACTTCAATGTAGCAATGAGAATATATGGGTCAGATCTGAATGGCAGGTGAGAAAATTAAAGGTAGATGATGAAATAAAGCTTAAACATTTCAAATTTTTCTTTGTATAAAACTTATTAGAGGAAAACAAATTCCAAATTTCCTAAGGAAAGTAATGTTTGAAAAAAGTATGTAATGTGATTGATAAAATAGTATTTAAAAATTTGACCATGTTGTTATTTTCCACAGTACTCACTTCAGCCACTTAATCATTGTTCAAAATATACTCAAAGGATTGAGTCCTACACTTGTCTGCTTACAGAGCAAACTTTATAAAGCTAAATATAAGTTATAATTAAGTATTATTCTCTTTAATTTATCCCTTGACACCACTATTAACAATTTCAGGGGCTAATGAAGTGGCTCAAGTGGTAAGGCCACCTATGTAGCAAGCATGAAGCCCTGAGTTCAAACCCCAATACCACACACACACACACACACAAATACACACACACACACACAAAAACCTTCAGCATTTCCCAAACATAGTAAAATTATTACTGTAAGAAGAAAAAATAACTTTCGCCTTTAAAGATTTCACAGCAAACCTTCACCCAAACATGTAAACACTATTTGTATATTCTTTAATTACCTATTTCTCCAACCCACCTATAAAATATAACATTACATTCAATTTGTTGAACAGTTAAAGCAATACTTTTCAGTAACTTAAAAGATGGATCTTGCTTTTCATTCTGATGGATAAAAATAAATGATGCAACATTTATATAAATCTACTGAATTCAAAGTAAGCATGAATAATATGGTATCTAATTTACTCACCTCCTTAATCGCTTCTTCACTAGGGAGCATGGAACATAAACATGTGATATAAGCTTGCTGAAAAGATGACACATGTGCAATCTCCTTAGATTCTGCACATAGTTTTGACAAAGCAGTAGCCTGGGGGATGCAGTTAGATTTCAACAAATGTTTTATTCGCATTTGTAGGAAGGAAGGTCCTTCTTGTGCAATCAACTTATTGACTAGAAAAAAGAAAAAAGAAAAGAGTGATAACATACCACATAATATGTCAGACTTAAGACAAAGTTTCCTACCTGTTTGTTGCTGATTTGGTTTTAGGTTAATAAAAACTCAGGTGATAAAAATAAAAGTTTATTCTGATCTCATTACTCATCTAATAAAGATGAGGAAAATAAGTTTTTTAATGATTTCTACATTAATTAGTAATTTTATTCTGAATACCACACTTTTTAATAAAGCTACCAACATTGTACCAAAATTAGTTATGTGGACATCTCCTTTACTTTCTGATGAGACTAGTAAGAAATAGTGAAATGAACTATAAGCATAAATGCAAGAAAATGAAGCAAGTAACACACAATATTAACTACTATCAATTGAACATTTATGCAGTGCCAAGTTTTATGCCAAATGTTCTTATTTATTCTTCACACCACCACCAAGGCAAGTATTATTATCCCCAGTTTAAGATTAGGAAAATTAATATTCAGAGAAGTTAGGTAACTTGCCAAGGATTCCAAAGCCAGTGGTGCTGTATCCTCTAAACCAGGCATTTCTCAAAGTGTGTTCCACCGACCAAAAGACCTGAGAGATAGTCCTAGAAAAAAAAAGGATTCCTTGGTCAAATCTCTGAACAGTCCTGCAATGAAGAAAACTGTTCACTTTTATTTAACCCAGTGCTTCCCAAACTGATTTGACCAGAGAACCCTTTTACACATATTAATCAGTACCCAGTAAAACATGTTCCTGGTTTAGTACACACTTTGGAAAATGCTGTTCTGAGCAGTACTGACTAATAAGCACCTGAGCATGGAATGTGCAGTGCTCTGGACAAGTCCTCAATTTCTGAATAGCAAATAACAAATATATGGCATTATATAGTATTACTTAAAGAACAGAAGTTAGAACATGGGGTATCAACTGCTTTGGGTGGTTAATCTAAACTGGTGTTTCTCAGATCTGAAAATGCCTTCTGAACCAGCTGTGTGGGAGCTTATTAAAATGCAGATTCTGATTCATTAGGTTTGAGATGAGACCTTAAACTTTTTTAATTTTTAAAATTTTTAATTTTCAATTTTTTAAAAGTTTAAAAAAAATCTGTATTAGCCATAGTTTTTAAAATTATCTTTTTATAGTAGGTATCTTTCTTTCCTCCCTCCTGCCCTCTCCCTCACTTCTTCCCTCCTGCCCTCTCCCTCACTTCTTCCCTCCTGCCCTCACTCACAGACATCAAAGAGCACACAAAAAGGTGTACAGTTGAAAGTCGTCTGCCACCAAGCTGACTGTGGTAAGTAATAGACATAGGATTATATGCCTGTAATCCCAGCACTCAGGCTAAGGCAGGAGGATCATGCTGTCAGGACAACCTTGGCTACATAGTGAGACCCTGTCTCTTAAAAAAAAAAAAAAATTATCTCCCCTAGTTTTCCTCCCTGAGAAATAACTGCCCCAATTAGAAATATCCTATAAGTACAACAAAAGTATCTCCTGCCCCACTTAATAGATCATAGAGGTCATTCTATTATCAGTACATTTGGAGCTACCTTAATACTTCTTAACTGAATCATATCTCATTGTATGGATGTACTATAATTCACTTCAACTTCCCACTGGTGCACTCACAATTAATACTGCTGCAATTTACCACCCTGTCCATGTCATCATGAGTACATCAATAGAACAAATTCCTAAATTAAAGGTTTTATTTGTAGCATTAACTCACATCGCCAAACTGCTCTCCAGAAGTTATACTAATTCATACTCCCAAAACATATAAGTGCCTGCCTACATCCTAAGGCTCTTCAGAAAGTTCTAATTCTATAGCTCCAACTCTGGAAGTTTTGATTTATCAGGTGGCACCTGGATTTTGGTATGTGTTCTTTAAGGATTTTCAATTCTGTAGACATTCCATAATAAGCAGCCAAGGTCAAAAAGCATGGAGGAGAAACAGGTAACATTTAATTGGCCTTTTCCATTTTAGTCCCAGTCACAAAACTCTACAAAATAAAGTCACAATCATAATCCTGCCCCTCACATTTCTTCATTCCTTCTGTTTTCAGCAATGGTTTTCTCACAATCAGACAAAAAATAAAATTTTGACATTTTTCCATCCTACCTCCTTTCCTCAAGGAAATCAACTTGGCTATTGTGTCCTTGCAATTCTTTTTAAATACTCTCCAATCTAATTCTTCCATATGACTTCCTTTCACATTTGTCTCTCCTGTACCCTATTTCACCTAATATTAGACTCTGCTCTATTTATCTGCCATACAAGGTTGTAAGCATTTCACAAATCTACAACAGGCAATATACCTGAGAATAAGCATGTTATCTATAAAAACTTGCCACCTTTAAGTTCCCCCAGCACTTTACTTCTTTTACCACACTTAGTTTTCCCCTTATGTGTAATAATGAGGGATTATAATGTACAAAGGATAAGACTTCAGATTTCAGAATCACTGATCTGTGGTTTTAGCCTGATTCTGACACACAGCTGTAAAGCCTTCAACATATTAACTGATCTCTCCAAAGCTCAAAATTCTTTCTTTTTAAAAAAGTTACTAATATTCTTGCAGGGATGAAAAAAATCACATATGAAATACCACTAGTGCTGATAAGACACTTAGCACAAGCCCAGGCGCAGAAAAAATTGTCCAACAGTATTTACTATTCCTTGTCTCTGATACTTCTTTATTACACTGTCAGCAATTTGTGACCAAATACCATGTCTTGTTAACTTTTGTATTGCTTACAGAACTAAGCACAATGCCTTGCATATTGTAGATATTTGATAAAACTATGTACTTAGCAACTGAAGGGTTATCAATTCCCAATAAAAAACTTCTATTATCTGTGTTTATACTCTGCCTCCGCAATTTTAACCACATGGTCTTTGGGAGTTATGTCTCACCTGTTTTACAGATTGAGATATGAAAGTAACACTATAAGTGCTGAACATACAGAAGGCACTCTAAAAATCATAGCTATTATTTCTAGGAGGTAAAACTACTCAATATATAACAATTGGTTAAACCACTGCTGTATAACTGTTTTTCTTTTTGCAGTGCTAGGTATTGATATAAGGGCTTTATGCATGCTAAACAAGCAGTTCTACCAGTGAACTCTATCTCCATTCTTGTTTTATCAATTTTAAACACAGCTAAATCTTGTATTTTAAAGATCATTTTAAAAATAATCACTATACAAATTCATTTGGTAAGAGGGAATCCAGGGGCTTGAGAGGTAGCTCAGTCCTAGAGCACTTGCCTTGCATGCCCAATGACTTTGATTTAATCCCCTAGCACCACAAGACAAAACAAAAAGGAGGTGGGAAACATATCCATGTGTTTCAATAATAAAATGCACACTAAGTCTCACTCTCAAGCATGACCCTTTATGTATTTTGCTCAAACATTTTACTACATAACTTAAGAACATTACTATAATCTCTCCATTTAGATTTCTTTACCTCGCTTTTCTTTTTCTGAATCATTTACAAGCTGCTAAGCTAGGCATGGTAGCACACAACTAATCCCAGTAATTGGGAGGCTGAGGCAGGAGAATCATGAGCCCATCCTGGGCTACACAGTGAGATCCTGTCTCAAAAAAAAAAAAAGTACATTGCAGACATCAAGACGTACTTTATTTTGCATATAGTTCATCATGTAAAAACAATCACATATAAGATCCAGTCAAAAAAGAACCCTTCCATGATGTCTTTACTAATCAAGACAGGCAGAAGAGTCAAGTGGCACTTAATAGATACTTCAATAATAACACCGTTTTTTTCTCTGGGGCGGCATGGTGGGGGAGAGAAGGCACAAAGTTCAAGACAGAAAAAAAAATGTTTATAGGCCCTTTAAATTAAAATTTCTTTCTTCTTTTTTTTTTTTTTTTTTTTTGGTGGTACTGCAGTTTGAACTCAGGATCTCACACTTGCTAAGCAGGCGCTCTACCACTTGAGCCACTCTGCCAGCAAGGCCATCTAAATTTAAAAAACTAAATTTGAATGCATTTATTGAGTTCCATGAAGGTTCAAAATATTCATTTATGCTTCTATTACTACTTTACTGAATAGAAGGCAATCAATGAAATAATCTTTCATGGCAAATACATTAGTATCTAGGTTGAAGGGGCAGTGGGGATAAAAAGTTTTCTAGTTGTATGCTGGGTATGGTGATACCTATCTGTAATTCCAGCACTAGGGAGGCTAAGGCAGGAACACTGAGTGTGAGGTCAGCCTGGGCTACATAGTGAGACCCTGTCTCAAAACAAAACAAAATAGTCAAAAACAAAACAAAAGTTAAGGGCCAATTGTAAAGCAGGCCACAAGTTGCCCACCCGTTATACTGCAGTGAATGTATCGTGTACCCATTCAGAGGCTTAGGTATGGCAGGTGCTTGAGTAATGTGTATTGAACAGATACGATACCACAAGATGTTAAGTAAGCAATGCTTCCCCCCACTTCTTGGTATTTCTCTATGTGAAAATATTACTAACTCCTGAAATGGGGTCACCTATTGATTAGTAGGAGAGAATGTACTGGAGATGTTTAACTCAACTCTACCTTTGTTCCTCTTTGAGGTTGGGCCTGTTTACACACAATATGAATTCTCTGCCCCAGTCAAGATTTATGTGGACTATGGTTTATCTGGATGATTCTGAAACCACAGCCATAAATAACACTGTTTCAGTCAATGATGACCTACACAAAGCACAGTACTCCTGTATGATTATACTGGAGTTAAAAATTCCTACCCCCTACTGACAATGTAGTAATCATTACATTGCAGTGCAATGCATTAGTTGTATGTTCGTTTTGTTTTTTTGGTGGGACTGGGGTTTGAACTCAGGGCTTCAAGGATGCAAAGCAGGTACTCTACCACTTGAGCCACATCTCCAGTTCATATTGCTCTGGTTATTTTGGAGACAGGATTTTGCAAACTATTTGCCCAAGTTGGCCTTGAATTGAGATCTTCCCCATCTCAGCCTCTCAAGTAGCTAGCATTGCAAGGCATTAGCCACTGGCTTACTAATTGTGATAATGATGATGCCAATGTAACTAAACTTATAGCACTGCCAGTCTTCTAAAAAAACTAGCACATAGACTTAGGTATAGTTCATAATACTTGATAATGATAAAAACAACTGCTTCTGGTGTATTAGAAACAGTTTACTGTAAAACAGTATGTTATATTATGCCAGCAACAGCCTCAAACTTTTCCTATTTACTACACCTCTTTAATTTTTTCTTTTTCCTTTTGGCAGTCTAGTACTGGGGTTTGAACTCAGGGCATCATACTTACTAGGCAAGCAGTCTACCACTAAGCCACCGTCCCAGCTCTTTACCACACTTATTGATTGCAAGAAACCACTCTAAATGAGTGGCTTTGTGTAAATACACTCTATAAGGTACACTTAGTGAAACTGTCTAACAACTCGGTTCTCAGAACATATCCCCATCATCAAACAGTACATGACTAATTGGCACTGTCCTCTAATAATGGTGATATTTTAACCTCCATCTGACTATATTTACACAGGGATGCCATTTATTGAGGATTTCAACACACACACAAAAAAAAAACCCCACCAATCTATTCTATTCAATAGCTCTTTTCCTTATTTCCACCCCCCTATTCTTTTCTTTCTGTGGGACTGGGGTTTGAACTCAGGGCTTCTCTACTGACTGAGCCACACCTGCAGCCCATGTTTGCTCTGGTTTTTTGCAGATGGGTTTTGCTAACTATTTGCCCAGGCTGGCCTCAAACTGAGATCCTACCAAGTAGGGAGGATTATAGGCACAAGCCACTGGTGCCTGCCTCCTTTTTTGTCTTGTCAGTACAAATGATAAGCAATAGAATCATCAAAGGACAGAACCAAGAGAAAATCTAAACACCTTTAGGCCAATCATTTCACTGCACCGAAAGGCCCAAACATGTACATGGTGGTCAAACATGATAAATAAGTTAGCTAACTGGGATATTTCAAGGCATGAACATTCAGATTGTTTTTTTGTCTAAGACCTAAAGATATGTCAAAAATTATAACAAGTCACACATGGTGACACAAGCCTGTAACACCATCACTCAAGATGCTGAGGCAGGAGGATATCCAATTCAATGCCAGCCTGGGCTACAGAATGAAAACTTGTCTCAAAAAAACAAAAAGAAGCCAGGTGCAGTGGCTCATGGCTGTAATTGCAGCTACTTGGAAGGCAGAGATGAGGAGGTAGATACTAACAGAACTGCAGTTTGAGGCTAGCACAGACAAAAAGTTAGCAGGACTCCATTTCAACAAACAACCCAGCATGGCAGTAATCCTAAATACACTGGAGGAATAGGTAAGCGGATCATGGTCTGAGACCAACTCCAGGCAAAAATGTAAGACTAACTGAAACATAACCTAAAAGCAAAAAGGGCTGGAGGCATGGCTCAGGTGGCAGAGTGCCTGCTTAGTAAGCATGAGGTGCTGAGTTCAAATGCCATTATCTACCTCCCACCAAAAGAAAGTGTAATTGTTCTGAAATCTGTTCTTACCCTGGGAATATACTTATAACAGAATGTGATCCTTGAACTTTCCATTAATTTGAAGCAAGTGAAGATAAAATTGCTGGCTACAACAAGTATTTTTTAAAATACAAATGTCAATTCAAATACATCATTTTTCTGGTCTTAAACTGGCAGTTGTGCAAATAAAAAATTTCATTCTTTGCTTTCTCTACAAAACACAAAATTCCAATTGCCTAATTTAAAAATACTTTATTCCATGGTCTTCAGCTGTTGTGACCAATGAACAAAGTATAAGCAAAGCCCTACTCTCTACCAAATACTAGCAGCAAATTATTCGATTCTATCTCAGAAACTTCATCTGAACTTTGTTAACATTGTTACTCAATGCAACATCTTAGGTATGATGAAAAAAATCCAAGAATGCTTACTTAAGCAAGCAAAACATTAAATGCTAATAGTTAATTTTTCACTATTCAGAAGAGAATAACCAGTTACACACAGATGAAACTGTACGGGAGCTTGAACTCAAGGCCTATACCTTGAGCCACTCCACCAGCCCTTTTTCTGTCAGGTATTTTTGAGATAGGGTCGCATAACTATTTGTCCGGGCTGGCTTCGAACCACAATCCTCCTGATCTGCCTCCTGAGTAGCTAGGATTACAGGCCTGAGCCAAAAGTGCCAAGCTAGAAATTCACAAATTTTTAACTCATAATCTTGATGATTTTAAAACTCAATTCTCCACTGTAATCAAAAGAATTTTAAGACTTACCTTCCTCTGCTTCTACTGGCTGTTGAGATAGAATTTTAAGAAGAACTGGGTTCTTCCACACCCCTTCCTTGGTAACATGAACCAGTATTTGTAGGTTATTATTTCCAAACTCCAACAATGCATCATGTGACTCCTAAAACAAAAACAGCATATTCAGAAAATAAGCTAATAATTAACATAAAAGTGGCTTTACCTTTTCAATACCTGATCATCTTATGAACTGAAGGATCTACAAAACTTGGTTTCTTAAAATAAATAAGAAAAATAAAAAAAGACTCATCAAACCTTTATACAATTTTGTGGCCATGTTTTTTCAAAGCTAAGAAGTTTTCAACTAAGTTAAAGAGTATTTTTAAAATGTTTTTCTGAATTTGCATCAAATAAAATTACCACTACAAGCAATTAAATCCTTGAATTACTATGGGAGATTTGGAGTGCCCTACTTATTAAGATAGCCTAGCTGGAGCCTGTCAGAATGGCTCAAGTTGCAAAGTGCCTGCCTAGCAAGCACGAGGCCCCGAGTTCAAACTCCAGTAATGCAAAATTAATTAATTAAAATAAAAATGGCCTAGAGGAGTGCCAGTGGCTCAACGCCTATAATCCTAGCTACTCTGGAGGCAGAGATCAGGAGAATCAAGGTTCAAAGCCAGCCCAGGCAAATAGTTGGTGAAACCCTACCTCAAAAACACCTAACACAAAAAACGGCTGGTGGGCTGGTTCAAGGTGTAGACCCTGAGTTCAAACTCTAGTGCCAGAAAAAAAAAAAAAAAAAAAAAAAAAAGATGGCCAGACACTTTGAAGACCTAACAGCCTTGACAGCAGCTGATTTAATTATTTTCAGGTCAATGATACAGCTTTCATTTAAACGACAGTACAGTACTCACACAGGCAGCTTATTCTTTCCAAACATAAATATTATTTAATGACACTAGTTGTACAAGTATTTAAGATGTTCTATTAAATTATTATTTAAATAAGAGGCAGCTCTATACAAAATTTAAAAAGGACAGGTTATTAACTGTTATAATACATTCTCAGCATAGGAAAAAAATGTAATTGCCTATAGCATGTTCTTTAAAGTACTTACTCACAAAGCATGAAGGAAATGGGACCAGAAGTTAAACACCATATAAATGATTAAATGTATATCTCAGTGTCCTTTATTATTATTTAATACTGATTATGGTGAGCTTGTTCCCACATTTTAAAATTTTAACTTGTTTTCCTTAACTGTTGAAATTCTCTAAGAATATAAATTTCCATTTACAGTAAGTTTCCTTTGGAAAACATAAGCCAAAATTATTCCCAAATCTAAGATTATAGTTTTATATCCACTCAAGTGAAATACAACATAACCCCGCACCCCCCCCATTTAACTTTCATGTTAAATTAAGAGAGACTTAGTTAGACACTGGTAACTCACACCTATAATCCTAGCTGCATGGGAGGCAAATGGTTTATGAGAACTCCATCTCCAAAATAACCAGAGCAAAATGGACTGGAAGTGTGCCTATAGTGCCTGTTTTGCAAGTGTGAAGTACTGAGTTCAAATACTGGTCCCCCATCCCACTGCCCCCTCACCCCCACCACACAAACAAAAAAAAAAAGCCTTGTAACACACGTAACAGCAGCTGAAATTAAAACATGCTTTGAGGTTTTTCTTTTCTTCTTTTTCTTTTTTGGTACTCAGGGCCTCATGCTTGCTAGTCAAACACACCATACCCATAATCCTTTTGGTGTTATTTTTCCAGTAGGGTTTCAAATTTTTGGCCATAGCTGGCTGTGGACCTTGACCCTCCTTACTCCTTCCACACAGCTTGGATTATAGACATGAGCCACCATACCAGGCTTGTTTGTCTAGATGGGAGTCTCACTAACTTTCTACTGGGACTGATCTTGAACCTTGATCATTTTGATCTCTGCTTTCTGAGTAGCTGGAATTATAGGAAAGGGAGGTCACTCCTGGCCTCACGTTGTGGGTTTAAGAAAAAGTTTCTTTCTCTCTCTTCCTCTCTCTCTTCTCTTCCCCTCTTTCTAAATTTGACTTAGTTTTTTGAGAGGACAACTAAGTTTCCGAGGCTGCTCTAGAATCAAACAATCCTCCTGCATTAGTCTACTAAGAAGCTGGGACTACAACTATGTGCCACAACACCTGTTCAAGTACAGAATGCAGTACCACCACAAAAAAAAAAAAAGAAAAGTAAAAAAAGTCACTTAAAAACAGGTGCAGTGGCTCACACCTGCACTCCCAGCTACTTAGGAGGCAGAGACTGGAAGGACTGAAGTTCAAGACCAGCACAGGCAGAAAATTAGCCAGACTCTTTCTTACAAACAAGCCTATAATCCCAGGAACAAGGAAGGAATAGGAGGATGGAGGCAAAAATACAAGACACTGTCAGAAAATTAACACAAGAAAGGTCTGGAGGTATGATTCAAGTGGTAATCACCTGCCTAGCAAGAGCAGGCCTGAGTTAAAACTCCAGTACCACTCCCCCCACACCAAAAAAACATAAAGCAAAAAACAAAACAAACAAACAAAAAAACTAGGTAATCTTAAATATAGTCTTAAAAATCATGGTAACATTAAAAAGCTTTCTTGAACTTGGGTTTCTCATTAGGGTGAAAATATCCTAGACCACGTCGTGAAATCTAAAATACAGAAACAATAGAACAAGATGTTTACTCTCACACGATTTAAAATAGCAGGCTGGGTATGGCTGCTCACACTGGTAATCTCAGCTACTTGGGAAACAGAGAGCAGAATGGTGGTTTGAAGCCAGCTGGGCAAAAGTTAGTGATTCCCTACCTCACAGAAGCAGCTGGGTGTGGTGGCTCACACCTGTAATCCTAGCTAAACAGGAGGCAGATGTAGGAGGATCACGGTCTGAGGTTGGTTATGGGCACAAGCATGAGACATTATCTGAAAAATAACTAAAAACAAAAAGGGAGAAAGTGGGGGGGGGGAGGAAATGATCCAAACATTGTATGCACATATGAATAAAAGAAAAAAAAAAAAAAAAAAAAGGGAGAAAGGAAATGGCTGGAGACATAGCTCAAATAGTAAAGCTCTTCCCTAACAAGCACAGGTCCCTCAATTCAAACCCCAGTACCATCAACAAAATAAAAAGATAAAAAGATAAACTAAAATAAAACAAAACAAATAGCAAAGTCATTTAGTCAAATAATTTCTGGCGCAACAAGTGGAGGGGGAGCGAAGGAGAAAAACAGGAAGAAGGGGGCTGTGGGGGGAGAGAGCAAGAGAGAGAGAGAGAGAGAGAGAGAGAGAGAAACCACTACACAAAAATCAAAACAAAACAAACTATTTTGGGGGATATAGCTCAATTATACAGCACTTGCCTAGCACAAGGCCCTGGATTTGATCCCTGGCATGGCTGGGGGGAAAAAAAAATCCATTTCACAGTGTGCACTCTTATATTCACAGGAAAAAAGTATGGAAGGGTTATACAGCTGTAAACAGTAATTGAGAAACATTCTAACTGTGGCCTACTCTGATAAAAACTATTCTTTAGCCAAAAGTATCCTCAATACCATCAGCTTTCTTGTCATTTATCAAGAAAAAAAAAAAATCAGAGCTTTATATTTCAGATTTCAATGGGGACCATGTCTCACATTTAACTATACTCCTATCTCTTTTTAATTTTTTTTCTGATACTGGGGTTTAAACTTAGGGCCTTGCACTTTCTAGGCAAGCACTCACCTAAAAAAGTATTTTGGTAATATTTTGACTCTTTTTTTTTTTTTTTGAGATCCTGGGGTTGCTAGGCAACCAGGGCTAGCTAGGTTCCTAGCAACTCAGGGCTTGCTAAGCAGATGATCTACCACTTGGGCCAGGCCTCCAACCAACCACTCTACTTTATTAATTTTACTAAACACAAATCAACACATACATCCTGATGAACTACTGAAAAACTTACAGACGGGGGTGAAAAGGAGGAGGAAGGCATTTATTTTGCTCAGGCAAACAATCTAAGAAAACAATAAAGTATGAAATAACAGGAGAATATTCTCTCTAAAGAGGATCTTAATAAAAAATACTAACAGTACTAATAAATACGTATATTGCCCTTCTAGAATGCCGTATGCCAGGAGGAAACTACTGGCAGGCTTCAAAACACAACGACAAAAATCAATCTGCTCAGTCAGGTGTGGTGGCACACACCTTTAATCCCAGCACTCAGGAAGCGGAGGCAGGAGGTTGACTAGCTCCAGGCAAGCCCTAGACTACATACCAAGACCCATCCCCAAACAAACAAAAATAACAATATACTATGTATCAAAGATATTACTAGCTTTACGGATATGTGGGAAATTAGGACTGCATATTAAATAGATCAAAAGAACGACAATCCTCTTCTCCCCAAAGGGGGAGGGGGGTGTAGATTTTGGGTTATACATTACAGAAGAAATTATCACATAATGAAGTATGTTTGCTTATATGCAAATCTTTATTTGCACCTACCTGAAACTGGTCCAAGCTACTATGGTCCAAGTGTGTCCTGGAGGAAGCACTTAAAGTAAGCTCTGGGTTTTTAATGTCCATGTTACTTCAGGCAAGTTATAATTAACCTCTCTAGGTCTGTCTCATCGTTTGTAAATGAAGAATCAAATAATACCAATGCTGTATAGTTTATTTGATTAAAGCATGTAAAAATATGTATCATGTAGTACAGAAAGAATCATAATTAGCAATCAATAATGAATAACTGCTGTATGTACCATGTCTACTTTTTAAATATTTTTTCTATGTCCACCAGACAGGCAAATTTGCCTACAGTTGCTGGCTCTACTCTTGATTTTTCTCCTGTTTTCCCTCCTTAATTTGCCAATTTCTGATCTGCTCCCTTACCTAGAAAAGTGATATAGGCCAACGTGAGAGCCCGAGTAGTTCTCCTGTAAGTAAAATGCATGAATACAATCTATGATGACAATTTTGGCTACTTCAGAGACTTGCAATGCTTGAGAGAATCCCTGAAGTTCTACGTGACAAAAATGAACCTTAGATGTGATGAAATGTGCTGTTTTGTATATTGAAAGTTACCATGTATGTGCACTGTGAATGATCTAAACATGCCACCTTATAACCATATATGATTTTAAAATGTTTAAAGCTTCATTCTGTCTATACTTTTAAATAATGAAAAGTTTTTTGTTGATTTCTAAGGTATGTAAAGACAAACAGAATCAAATGAAACAACCTTGTCCCCTCCCCACCCCCCCTTTTGTGTTTTTGAGACATGGTCACTATATGTAGCCCAGGCTGGCCTCAAACTCGATCGAGACTCTTGCCCCAGCCTTCTAAGTGTTGGGATTACAGATATGTACTGCCAAGCGTGGCCAAAAATCTTATCTCTGTCGAAGGCAGGTGGGAGTCCTTTTCCTTATCTCCTGAACTTAATGCCAATATATAATGAACTTGTTTTTGTTCTAGGTTTACAATGTTCATTTGCTAGCAGTAATTAAGGAGGTATGTAGATACTTACAGAGAATTTTTCTGAGTTAAAGTTGACTCACCTGTAGAGACTGAAGGAATGGTACCCAGACTTCACGTGGCAGTTCACTTTCAGACACTGAAAGTAGTAATTCAAAACAACTCCTACAATACAAATAACTAGGTAAGTATATATAAAGGTGGTTATAGCAATAAATAAGTATAGTATGAAGCAATCCGAAATACATATTCAGGTTTACAGATTTTTAACTCTTTTAACTGTTCAATTTTTTTCTTTCAAATTGTTATATTAACTTTTCAGCCTCAAGAGAGAGAGAGAAAAAAAGAAAAACCACAAGGCTTTATATTCACACTGTTGCTGCAATACATTTGGTAAGAATACATTCCTTTAAAAAATTATGTTAAAAAAAATTACATGCTAAGTAGCTTTACTTAGGTTTTTTTGTTTGTTTGTTTGTTTTGTTTTTTGGAGGGCACACCCAAAAAAGGAAAAATTTTGGCTCCATAAATCAAAAACAGCTCAAGTTATTGTGACTTCAGTCAATAAAGTGGTAAAACTGTTACTATATAGGTTTTTTGTCATTTCTTAATTTCTAATAAGCCAAGCAAGAAAAAAAGAGTTTCTTCTTTTTACCCTAGCCATTACCCAGACACAGGGAAAAAAACAACAGGAAGAATTTTTAAAAAGAAAATGTGTAACAACTTGAATAAAGAACAGCTCAAACTATTAGTCAAGCAACACTGCTCTAAAATTTTCCAGCATATGATTTTAGTCTTTAGAGATTAGGACAGGTAACAGACAATAAGACTTAGCAGGAGGAATAATGGTGATTATAAAACCAGGAATGCTTATGTTCCATAAAGGTATCATGTTAGAGGTTTTTGCTTTGGAGAATTAGAAGAAAAACAGGTAAAGCCAGAGAAAAATACTATGAACTACCTAGACTATGAGTTATACCACTGAACAATCTAGAAGCTGAACAAGAGAAGGCCAACCTTTAACACTAAAGAGCTGTTGTAGTTTCTCAATTTGCAGGTAAATGATACATCAAAGGTGTAATTTTGTCTGTTACTAGGTGCAAAATCTGCAAACAACAGCTAAATGACCATGGACTCTAAGGGTGGCAATCTTATACAATACTGATATTTTCTGCTGGTACTCTTAATACAAATAATATAATCAAATCACAGAATTCCATGGTATTTTCCTCAAAGACAACCACAGTTTCCAGATTCTGTCATTTGAATCAATCTGTGGTGATTAATTTTGATTGTCAACTTGATTGGATTGAGAGATACACAGAGGATTAGTAAAGCACACCTCTGAGGGTGTCTGTGAGGTCATTTCCAGAAAGGATTAGTTACAGGGGAAGCCCTGAATGCAGGCAGCACCATTCCATAGGTTGGGGGCCTGAATGGATGGAAAAAGAGAGAAAAGGACAAAGGGGAAAAAAGGAGAAAGACAGCAAGCACAGACATTCTTTGCCTCTATGATATGAATTGCTACTATGATATGATATGAATTCCTGACTACTATGATATGAATTGCTCTGCTAGGTCCTCCCTGCCATGACGACTGAAACCTTTAAAATGGAGTCAAAATAAGTATTTGCTCTCTTTAGCTTGTTTTTCTCAGATATTTGGCCACAACAATGATAAAACTAACACAGAAAATTGATACAAGGAATAGGGTCATTGCTGTGGTTCTTAAGTCTTTGGGACTGGTTTGCAGGAGGAAATGGAAAAGGTTGGAGATGCCAACTACACTAGAGAAGCTCTGGAATGCTGCCAGCAGAGCTTAATGAGTGCTTTTGATTGGAGCTCATAAAACCAGAAAGCCAAAGACTGCTCCTGAGGCTCAGGTGGGAACAAGTACCTTACTGGGAACTGGACTAGAGCCCAGGCATGCAACATTGTGGCAAAGAACTTGTTTACATTTTATCCATGCCCTAAGACTTTACAAGAAGTGAAGTTTAAAGGTGATGGACTAATCTGGCAAAGGAAATTTCAAGGCAGCCCAGCTTTCAGGCTGTGGCACGATTATTGCTTAGCTGCTTCTAAGTCAGATTTATAGTGAGAATTAAGAGCAATAAGCAATTTGCCAGGAGTGCCAGTGGCTCACACTTGTAATCCTAGCTATTCAGGAGGCAGAAATCAGGATCAAGGTTTGAAACCAGCCCAGCCAATAGGTTGCAAGACCCTATCTCAAGAAAAGGGCTGGTGGAGTAGTTCAAGGTGTAGGCCCTGATTTCAAGTCCCAGTACCACAAAAAAAAAAAAAAAAGAAAGAAAAAGAAAGAAAGAAAATAAGCAATTTGGTTAGAAAAAAAAGAAGTTTGAAATTTCAAACAATTAGGGTGTGGTTAAGAAATCAGGAGCGCTAAAAGTAAGCCACACCTATTTATCAGGTCACTAGCAGGCACCTTGAGGGCATCTCAGGAATTGGCTGGACTCAAACGTCAAAGGCTCAAGGGTATAAAGGTTTTAACTCATTTGAAAGACTGCTTTGAGAACAGAGCTCCCATGGACTCCACAGTGTTTCCTGGAGTTTAGTCATCCAGTCAGTCATTCAAAGGCTGCTGCAGCCCTAGTCCAAGTGGGTATTGCCTGAGCTGACAGTATAGACACTGATCCTGGTTGTGCAGGTATGAAGAATCATAGGGGCTTCCAACCAAATTTCAAAGGCCAGGGATACCAGACAATGTGTGGCAGGTTTGGAATCTATGAAAGCATCCCCTGAGAAGGCAATGATTAAAGCTGGTGAGGGTGAAGCTAAAGGAAAAATAGAAGTTACAGGTGTCAGGAAAATGGGTTCTACTAAGGAAAGCCATAGGCAAACAAGCAGAGCCAGCCCAAGAGGGAGGCCATCTGGACTGCAAACAGCAAGAACACAGGGTCATGGCTGCAAGACATCTAAGATTCACATCCCACCACCACCATGGGCCCTGTATGCCAGACAGGGAGCTACAGGATTTAATGCTTGCCCTGATAGGTTTGATCTTTCTTTGACTCCTTCCCTCCTTACTGCAGTGAGGTTTACTCTATCACTGTATACTGGAAGCATGGAACTTTTTTATTTTACAGAGTTTGCCTTGAGTCTCACAGGAGACTTTGAGCTTGGACTTTTAAACAATGTTGGAACTGTTAAAGACTATGGGGACTCTCAGAGATGGACTGAATGTATTTTCCAATATGAGATGGACATGAGCCTCTGTAGGCCAGAGGTGGAATGTTATGGTCTAAGAAGATGTGTTTGAGTTTCAAGTCTATCAAGGTTAGACTTTTGACAACTAATCTTGTCAGCTTGATAGGATTGAGGGATACACAGAGGATTAGTAAAGCAGATCTCTGAGTGTATCTGCCAGGTTGTTTCCAGAGAGAATTAGCTAAGCTTGGAAAAGACCTGCCCTAAATGTAGATGGCACACCCCCCACAGGCTGGGGGCCTGGATGGAATGAAAGGAGAAAGCCAGCAAATGCAAACATTCTCTCTGCTTCCTGTTCACAATGATGTGAGCTGCACTGCTCTGCTAGCCCCTTCCTGGTCATGATGGACTGAAACCTCTGAAACTGTTAGACAAAATCCTTCCTCCCTTAATTTGGTTTTCTCAGGTGTCTGTTCACACCAATGGTAACACTAACATACAGTCTATACCTAAAATGTGTCATTCTTGCATTCCAAGCCTGAGTAAAAAGAGACGGCAGAGGCATTTAAAGATTATGTTGTTTAACTGGAGCCTCACTTAGACTGCATCTCTTAGAAACCTGAGAATAAAGGCTCAAAGCAAAGGAAATTTCATTAAAAGGTAAGACTCTGATGGTGCCTTGAAGAATAAATGCCACCACTGTATACAAAATAAAAGAAAAAAAAAAGTCAGGCAAACATTACAAACAACAGTACTCAATTTTTAGAGTGATTTAAGTTATTAAACTTACAGTACTAATCGGCCAAGCACTAGGAGGACATCTTCACATTCAGTAGTTAAAAATGGACGTGCACTGGCAAAGCTTTGGATGGCGAGTCGATATACCTCCAGAAGATACACAATATGTTCTGATGCATTCTTGTTGCTTGCATATTGCAGTAAGGTCTAAAAAATAAAATATTTATTTTTTACAAAAAAAAGGAAGCAAGTAAGACTCTCTTTCAAATGCATACCCTTTTCCTTTTATCCAAAAAAGATGAATAAACCATTTATTTTTTTAAGCCTGGTTTGTTTAGAGGATTCTGTTTTCATTACTTAATGAATTACCTCTGTAGAGTTATTAACAGTTATTATGACATAGGAATAAATCTTAGAGTAGAACTATAAAACACTTATAATTGTGCCCCCTATAGAACTGGAGCTACCAACTCTGACATTCAGTAACAAGCTTCATTAATACAACATTAAACTGGGGAGAGGAAGGAAGGGGAGACTTACTCCTCTGAGTATGGCCATCAATTCTATTGTTCAAAAAAAAAACCCCAGAAAACAAAATCCACCTTTCTTTCTGCACATAAAAAATTCATTAGGCTGGGCGCAGGTGGCTCACACCTGTAATCCTAGCTACTTGGGAGGCTGAGATTAGGAGGATCAAGGTTTGAGGCCAGCCCAGGCAAATATTTCACAAGACCACAGTTCTGAAATAACCAGATGAAAGTGGACTGGAGGCACTGCTCATGCAGTAGAGTGCCTACTTTGCAAGTGCAAAGTCCTGAATTCAAACCCCAGTTGCACCAAAAAAAGAATTATGCTTCCAAGAATTAATTTACGCTAACCAACTTTTTTTTTCATTTTTCTTTTATTATTCGTAGGTGCATACAAGGCTTGGGTCATTTCTCCCCCCTGCCCCCACCCCCTCCCTTACCACCCACTCTGCCCCCTCCCTCTCCCCAATACCCAGCAGAAACTATTTTGCCCTTATTTCTAATTTTGTTGTAGAGAGAGTATAAGCAATAATAGGAAGGAACAAGGGTTTTTGCTGGTTGAGATAAGGAGAGCTATACAGGGCATTGACTCACATTGATTTCCTGTGCGTGGGTGTTACCTTCTAGGTTAATTCTTTTTGATCCAACCAACTTATAAGAGGTTAATATTATACTTTTATTTTTAAAAAGATTTATTAAGAAGTTAATGTGAAGGCTAAATAAATGACAATTTGTTTACAATGGAGGGTAAACACATCACCATGCCAGATCTCAAACTCCTCATATTTTGGTATCTGAGAACCTATACACTAGAATACCAGTTAAGCTATTTTATTCCACCCATACAGTAAGCATCATATACCTTCTGTATTTTCAGAAAAGTATCATGTCACCATTTAATCAAAAAAGAGTTAGAGGATCATTAAACTGACCCCCAAACAATCCTGTTTCTCACCTAAACAGAACAGACAGGAATACAGAATGTGTGTTCATCTATTATGTAAATTAAAACTTCTCCTAATCTCTCTTAAGAAATTTATAAAAATTCCTACTTAAAAAAATTTATAAAACTAATGTTAGAAATTCTGATTTATGTCAGCAAATTACTTATTGTTTATACTGGCTAATTAACAATCAGGGAGCTTTAAGAAGTTCATATTTAGCTGGACACCAGTGCCCCAGGCAAACAGTTCAAGAAACTCTGTCTCTAAAAGACCCCTCTCCAGAAAAAGGCCTGCAGAGTGGCTCAAGGTGCAGGGCCTGAGTTCAAGTCCCAGTACTGCAAAGAGAAAAAAAAAAGTTTATATTTGATTCCACATCTTATATTCCTTGATGTCAGATATTATATCTTACCAATCTTTATAGGCCTACCAGTCCCTGGCCTACTCCCCCCTCCAGTCTCAAGTCTGTTTGTTGAATATATTCAACCATTTTATTCATTTGATAAGCTCTTAATGATAATCTATTATTATAATAGAGTGCTAGGGCCTATCTTCAAAATAAGTCAACATAACATGATAGCTGAAACCACACAAGCAAATTTACCAACTGTTCATTAAAGTACACAAAGAGAACACACACAGAAAGCAATTATTTTACAATCCCCAAGTGCAATGAGAATGGTGCTACCACCAATCTAATATCTTTTTTTTTAATTTAATTTTTTTATTCATATGTGCATACAATGTTTGGGTCATTTCTACCCCCTCTAATATCTTCTTACACAGACATTCCATTAAGACTTCTGTAAGGGTCGGGCATGGTGTTGAACACATGTAATCCCAGCACTTGAGAGGCTGAGGCTTCTAGGAGGACTGAAAGTTAAAGGCCACTCTGGGCTACACAGTTAGACCCTGGGGGTGGGACGAAGGAAAGAAAAGACTTCTGTAAGTTACACATTTTCAAATATTCAGTATTATGTGGAATTTATGTTTCCAGTTTGCCCCGCATATTGATTATATATACTACTAATTCTAAATCTTTCTCACCACCCCCATAAGTTAGTTTAAACTAAATAGTGAAATCTCCTTAACATGCCCATTGTAAACACATTCTGGGTATTTGAGGAATCACTGAAACAGTTCTGGCGGAGCAACTCAAACAATAGAATGGCTGCCTAGCAAGTGTGAGACCCTGAGTTTAAACCCCAGTACTGGGAAGTGAAAAGGAAAAAAAAAAAAAAAAAATCACATCTTTTTTGCTATTGATCAAACCCTGGGCCTTGCACATGCTAGGGCAAATGTTCTACCACAGAGCTACACCCTTAACTCCCTATCGCCTTTAAAAAAAAAAAAAAAAGGTATCTGGCTGAATGAATTGTGGCCATCCATATAACATTTTAAGTACCTCATGTAAGCAAAGCTCCATCAGAAACTATAAAGAAAAACAAAGGACTCTTATTTCTAAGTTCTAGAAGACACCAACAAAACTCAAAGAGAAAAGGGGTAATAAATGGTAACTATGATACCTTTAAGATCAGTGGCATTGTACAGAGATCATATTAATGGCCTCTTCTCTTTGATTCAGTAAACTCATTTATTACATAAACACTTACACTATGGCAATACTGTTCTGGGTACTGGGGATAGAGATTATTCTGGCCTTTAAAAAGTAAAACATATTACCAGGTGCGGGTGGCTCACACCTGTAATCCTAGCTACTCAGGAGGATCACAGTTTGAAGCCAACCTGGGCAAACAGTTTGTGAGACCCTATCTTGAAAAACAGTATCACATTGGGCTGGTGGAGTAGCTCAGTACCAAAAAAAAAAAAAAAAAAAAAAAAAGTAATACATATTAAAACATCAGATATGTATGTTTAAAAAAAAAAAAAAAAGCTCAGTTAAGCACCATCTTTAACTATTATTCTAAATACTCTTACAGAGATGCTTTCATTCAAATCCATGGCAGATTACTCTCAGATCACTTCCAAGTTCTTGATATATTTTCACCTGGTTGTCCTAGTCAAATTTCAAAACCAACATGTCAAAACCAAGCACCTTCTCCAACAAATATGCTCCTCCTCCTATGTTCCATCTCCCTGCTTTCAGGAGCCAGAGCTAAAAAAAATTATCTTTGAAACCATTACACCAAAGTTTGTTAATCTCAGAAATATCTTAGTCTTGACAGTCACTGAACTAATCTAGGCCCCCAACCGTCCTCATCTGGATTGCTACAACTGTTCACTTCTGTAGGCCAATTAGCCCCTCCAGTTCTGCACATGCATTATAATCACAACATATTTGTACATTAAAAAATTAATCCTGCTAGGAGCTGGTGGCTCACTCGAATAATCCTAGCTACTCAGGAATCAGAGATCAGGAGGATCACTGCTAGAAGCTATCCCGGGCAAACAGTCCCACAAGACCCTATCTGGAAAAAAAACCATTACAAAAAAGGGCTGGCAGAGTGGCTCAAAGTGTAGGCCCTGAGTTCAAACCCCAGTAAGGGGACGGGGACGGGGACGGGGGAAGAAGAGAGACCAGAAGAAGCTTAACTGAAATGTTAACATGATTAGCACTAGAATAGAATAGGATTATGAGCTTTTTTTTAAATCATCTTTGTACTTTTCTAATCTTCCAAATTTTCTCTAATGAAATATTATTACAAAAAAAAGTATTATTACATGTACAAAGGAAAAATTCTCACCTTCATTTCTTAACTACATAGTTCCAAAGAGATGGGCAGCATCCTGACTGCTTTCTGAAACTATTAAGGAGAATTTCTTCAGGTGGTCAGATTTTATGCAGGAGATGCACTCCAATTTAAAACTTTGTAGTTCAGCACTAAATTTCCCAATGGAATAATCATAATTATATTTATTGAGTACATGGTATGGGGCACTTTAATAAGAGCTTTTTCATGCTACTACAAGAGATAACATATATGATGATGGTCCCATTATAATGAAGCTGAAATTTTTCTATTGCCTAGTATTTTTAGATACACAAATATTTACCAGTTTGTTCAAACTGCCTACAGTATTCTATATAGTAACTGTACCTCACATATTTGTAGCCTAGGAGCCTACTACAGAAAATACTAGTAGGATAAACATGAAGGATTGTGTAAGCACATTCTTACAATGTTCACACAATGATGAAACTGCCTGAACTGGGTGTGGCTCAAGTACTAGAGTGCTTGCCTGGCAAGTGCAAGGTTCTGAGTTAAATTCCCAGCACCCCCTCCCTCAAAATTTTAAAAATAAAGAAATTGTCTAACCACACATTTCTCAGAACTTATTTCTATCATTAAATGACACATGATTGTAAATTTACTTAATATTCACAAGAGCCCTATGAGCCCCATGACTGATAACTAGCACATACCCTATCTCGTTTTCTTTTGGTGATGCTGGAGACGAACCCAGGGTTTCAAACATGCTAGTCAAGCACTCCACCACTGAGCATACTCTAGCCCTCCAGGTCACTTTTAAAATGAGGAAATAGATAGATTAAATTAATTTATTTGCCCTATGTCATCCAGTAGGTAAACGCTAGGTTCAGGATGTGAACTAGGGCCATCTAGCTCCAAAGCCCATAGTTAATCACTATTATTTATGTCTTGTCGGAATGAGCAATTCTACAACTATTTTAAATATGTTTCAAATTCTTTTTCTTCCTAAGCATTAGTTTTAATATTTTGCAGCAAGTAGATTCATGGTCATTATTTGACCTTCTTCC